AGATAAAGGTAGGGAGAGAGAGAGAGAGAGAGAGAGAGAGGAGAGAGAGAAAGAGAGAGAGAGTATAGCCGATTAAACGAATTTATATCGTACCATGAATAACACGACGCATCTTGGATAATAAATAATGTGCTCTTATTTTTGGAGTGTCGAGTTCATCTTTATCTCAGAGATATTGCGACAAACAGAAGATAACGTATTTAAATCAGCGTATATGGACTTTCAAAATCGAACATTTTATTTATAGAAAAATGAATAATAATTTCTTTTTTTTTCTCCTCCCCCTTTTTATACAACATTTATCGTTTTCAAATGTCGAAATATGAAATTTTTGTTTATCCATTTAAAAAGATACATTTGCGTTTGATCCGGTCAATGTTTTTGTTCTATAAAGGAATCTCTATCTTTTTATACCATCAGCTGTTTTCTATCATGAACGTTGATATTTTTAAAAATTAAATTACTTTTAAAAGTCAAGACTTTTAAAAATTAAATTAAATTAAATCAACTTATTCATGAAAAAAAAAAAAAAAGGAAAAGAGAGAGAGAGAAAAAAAGAAAAAGAATAGTTTAATTTTTTCTTAGATATTTTATATTTCTTAAAAAAAAAAAAAAAAAAAAATTAAATAATTTAAATTAATAAAAATAAATAGTGTGAGCAGATGTGCGAGTCAGATTAAAGGGCAGGTTCTTTCTTTCTTTCTTTCTTTTTTTTTTTTTTTAAGTTTGCCGACTTTACAAGCCATAAGGATGTGGAGGGTTAGTATTGGGTTCGGAGTACTCAACAGAATTCTTTTTTTTTTCTGAAGGGAGAGTGCAACGACGGGAGTGTACTTAGAAATTCTCTATTACGTTGGCATTGATCGTGAACGTGCCATATGTGCTATGAATGACGAGGGTTAACGAATGAACACTTCTTAGCTAAGCAATAGAGACTAAAATCTTTGGAAGCAACGAGTGTTAGAAACTAAATAAAATAACTATAAGCTAAAGGTAACAATGAGTTAACAAAATAAAAATTTATTTTACTTTACAAGTATTTACGAGTATTTCATTAATAATATAAATTATATCTAACGTATATCGCGTTTTGATATAAACATTTCAGACGGGTTTTAAATGAACGTTAAAATAAATTAATAAAAATTTTTAATATGTGTACTATCTTATAAAGAATATTAGAAGATTATAATTAACGTTATTGAGGTTAATTGTAATCTTCGAAGTAATTATTAAAATGTATATAAAAAAAAAAAAAAAAAAAAAAAAGAATAGAAAGAAATGAAATTAAAAGTGATTTTACAAAGAATATTAAATTAAAAAATATATTAAACAATATCTATATAATATAATCATAATTATTTTTTTCAAAAGAAAATAACAAAATTATTTTATTGTAAATTAATGTAAATTCATAAAAATTACAAATAATGAAATTCTCACACACACACACAAACATATGTTTACTTTTGTTATTACCTTTCCTATTTAATTGTTCGTTAATCGAATGCAACAAAGAACGTTCAAACTTTCTACTTTTCTTTTTTCGTCACGCATGGACGTGACAAAACAGAAGACTAGAAGTTGCTCTTTTTCGCGGTGACGAACAACGTTGCACGTCAGGTAAGCATATCCGGGAAGTTTGGGCCATTGAACCATGTTACTGATGAACACAATGAGTGATAGAAGTTTGCAAGTAACGAGACCGGTTCGTTTGCCTCGATTATCGATTTTCTTTCTTAGTCTTAATAACACTGCTTATTTTTCTCTCTCTCTCTCTCTATATATATATATTATATATATATATATATATATATAATATATATATTATATACATATATTATATATATATATATTATATATATTATATATATATATATTATATTTAGAAAATCAATACTATTATTAGTAATAATTATTAATAGAAAAAAAATAATTGCAATTAGATTCTCCCACAATTTTTGTCGTTCGAAAAAGAAATTTTTTTATTCGAAAAAGAAGAATTTTTTTCCACACTCTAAAATCAACGTATCATCCATTAAATGAATAAATAAATGAATAGGAAAAAAAAAAATTATAAATTGATAATATATCAATATAAATATATTATAATCGATAAAAATTGATACAAACTAATATATCGTTAAATAAATAAAATATCTTCCTTTTGGAGAAAATTTAATTGTCATTATAAAAAAAAAAGAATCTATCAAGAAAAATTTATCAAGTTAATCATCAAATCAATAAAAGTAATATCCATTTAATTTAATATAAATATTAGGCAGACAAGTTAGTGATAATTAATTCGATTAGAAAAAGAGAGAGTAAGTCATTCGGAAAAAATGATATCATTGTAATACTCATATATCTGTTTATGTATACATGTATGTATATATATATATATATATATATATATATATATTATATATATTCACATACACACAGTGATTGTACATGTATTGATTTAACGATTCGCTATGCGAACTATTCGAAGGGAGTGAAAGTCTAACTGTTGAATGTGAGCTTCGTGATAGTAACGATGGCGCGAAGGTTGCGCGATATTTCAAAGCCTTTACGAATTGCGAAACGTTCTTGCAAATCTAATCGTATGTACAATATTGAACTGTTAATCCCAAGAAGATGAATATATATATCCTGATGATTCAGTTTCCTTTCAGGAAAAAAAGAAAAAAAAAAACAGAAAAGAAAAAGAACAAATAGAAAAAAGAAAAAAAAAAGGAAAAAGCAAACGAAAAACAAATTGATCCGTCTCTTGTTAATCAGCAAATTAAAAGAAATGAAAAAAAAAAAAAAAAAAAAACAAAAAAAATAAAAGAAATTAATGTACTGTTATAATTTATTTATACATCATATATATGAATATATATTTTTCGATGGAATTACTGCAATCAGTTGAATCAATAATTTGGACAATTAATAAATTGAAATGGGAAAAAAAAAGAAAAAAGAAAAAATTGAATTGAAACGAGGAAAATCATGATTTATCGTATTATAAGAAATATTCGTTTCAAGATCAATTCGCTAATCGGATTATTAAATATTTATTAATTATAAAATTCAATTTGAAAAATTAATAAATTGCAACAGATGGAACAGTTCATAATCTGCTATAAGATAATTTAATATGCCACAGAAAATGTTTTTAATCGGCCAAGTTCGATCAACGAATTAAAAAAAAAAAAAAAAAAGAAAAAAAATCGATGACAATCGGATTAGAGAGAAATTATTATGTTACAAATCATTCTGAAATTACTGTGTTACAAATCATTCCATCCTTTTTCGTTTTCTTTTTTTTTTTTTTTTTTTCCCCCATTAAAGGATAGTTCTAAGAGAAGTATAGACAAAAGGCTTATCATTATCATTTTCAAGGACAGAAGAGTAGAAAATGATGAAGAAAGAAATGGCAACGCAGGAGGTGCCATCAAGAAGAAAAGGAAGAAAAGGAAGACGAAGAAGAAGAAGAAAAACAAAAACAAGAAGAAGAAGAAGAAGAAGAAGAAGAAGAAGAAGAAGAAGAAGAAGAAGAATAAAAGGGATAATTCAACGACTCGCAGCCGGTTTTCCATAGCAGCTTATAACGAAACTTTTACTAGGTACGATGAACCAGAAGGATGACTCATGATTCTCCCCCTCCAATCATGATTGCAATGAAGAAGAAGAAGAAGAAGAAGAAGAAGATGAGAAGGAAGGACGTTGGTAAGGAGGAAGAAGTACAAGTAGAAAAGAAGGAAGATGAGGAGGACGATGAGGAGGAAGGACGATGGTAAAGAAGAAGAAGCAAGGACATTAGTCCTGGCGATCTTGAGGTAAAGCGCCTACGCAATGTTCTTTCTGTATCCAGAAGGAAGAAGAACGGAGAAAGAGATAGAGAGAGAGAGAGAGACAGAGAGTGAGAGAGAGAGAATAAAAAGAAAATGAAGAAGAGGAGGTGAGAGAAGCCTAGTCTTACTTATTATACGTCTGTTGGCTAGTGCGATTTATACTGAGTGTTTCTCTTAGCATTGTCGTTCTAGAAAGTCAGAAGATTCATTATAGCTTAAAGCAAATCCTACTTCTTCATTTTGATGTAAGTTACGACATTGTTGTCTCTCTCTCTCTCTCTCTCTCTCTGTCTGTCTGTCTGTCTGTCTGTCTGTCTCTCTCTCTCTCTCTTTCTCTCTTTCTCTGTCTATCATTTTTTCATTCTATTCAATTTTAACGTATTTCTGCATCTGACACACTTTTTTTTTTTCTTTTGACAGATAACTTGAGATTTGACATATTTAATTTGTCAGAATAAAATTAACCTTCTGTCGGCCCGTATAACTTTCAGGTCACATTTTAATTTATCGAGATTTTATCAAATAATTATAGCTTTTTTTCCATGAGATGGCGCATAAATCTTAATTTAATTTTTTTTGGATTTAAAACAAAAATTCGGCCCATAGAGAGTTAAGGAAAAAAAAAAGAAAAGAAGAAAAAAGAAAAGAAAACAGCCCGAAATAAGAAAACAGGATAAAGAAAACAAAGTAAGATATATAAATATGTTAAAATTGCACGAAATGAGATTATAGTTGAAATGTTGATATTTTGAAATTTAAATTTCCAACTGATCCTATTGATCGATCTACTATTACTATTATTACTATTACATTCACGTATCTTTTTTTACGTATTGTTTTCTAGTTGTTATGAAGACAACTTAATTGCAATGTACACTTGTCCGTTAGAGAAAGGGAGAAAAAAGAGAGAGAGAGAGAGAGAGAGAGAGAGAGAGAGAGAGAGAGAGAGAGAGAGAGAGAGAGAGAGAGAGAGAGAGAGAGAGAGAGAGAGAGAGAGAGAGAGAGAGAGAGAGAAAGAGAGAGGTAGAAGGATCAATTCTCTCGCATAGGGCATTTAATTTCCGCCATTTTCAGAATAAAATGATTTTGTTATCCTGTTAGAGGACTAATAGCAATCTAGTTTCTTTTTTTTTTTTCTTCATACTTTTCTTAGCTTACCTCAGCAAGCGGCTCCTCTTTAGTTACGTCTCCATTCTTGGGTGTTTCCTCGCGAGTCGGCTTGCTCTTGTCCTTCTTGCTAAAGCTGATCGACCTGAGGGACCACTTTTTCCTCATCTATGAACAACGAGGAAGCGTCATTATATAACGTAATACTAGATCAAATCGTTTCCATTAAAATTGTCTTTTTTTCGTTCTTATTTTTCGCTCTTTTTTTTCGTTCTTTTTTTTCGCTCTTTTTTTCGTTCTTTTTTTCTTTGCTTTATTTTGCTTTCGTTTTTGCTTTTCAAATTTTTTATTTCATTTCAACATTTGTGATATATACATTGAAGTTAAAGAAAATTGACTTATATTTTTATTATAATTAATTTGAAAAAAAGAAAGTACACGATATATTATTTTAAATAGTATATTGTATTTTTTTTGTTCATAATGTCGGAAAAAAATTTTTAATATAATTTAATATATCGTTTATATTTGAATATAATATTACTGCAAATTTTCAATATTAAGTATTAACCAATTCAACTACGTATTTTATTTTATTTTTTTTTCTTCTTCAATTTGACATTTCTCTATTTATTTATTTATTTATTTTTTTTTCTTTTTTTTTTTATTATTTGTCAAAATCGGAATATACCTATATATTAAATTATTTTTCCAAACTAATATCGTTTTATTCTTACCAACTTCTTACCAATATTTAATTTATAAATCTCCAGCTTCATTCATTGTATTTCATTTATTTTAATTATTTAAATTTTATATATATATATATATATATATATTTATATGTAATGGGTAATAACACACCTTATCTTTTTTTTTAGGTTCCTTGCTGTCTGGTGAAGCAACAGTGTTGGGACTGGCTGGATTGCCTTCCGTAGGCGTTGTAACCTCCGCACCTTCTGCTGAAGGTTCGCCGGACGATTCTTGCTTCGTATCCTCCGACTTTACTTCTTCGGATTCCTGCTGTAAAATATGATAAAATTATAAATTAACATAAGACAGATAATAGATCGCAACAATACAGTGATTATAGATATTCGATTGTAAATAAACAAGTGTTACAGCACTTGATTAACATGTAAATGTTATCGTTAACATGATTTTACATCCTTTCAAGGATTATTTTTATATTGTAAATAATAGTTCGACGTGTAATGTTTATAAATGAATTTTTTTGTAATTGTCTGTCTTTAATTTTCTCTTTCTTTCTCTCTCTCTCTCTCTCTCTCTCTCTCTCTCTCTCTCTCTCTCTCTCTCTCTCTCTCTCTCTCTTCTTCTTTTTCTTTCTCCATTGGAATAACATAGATTGTCCATGGAAAAGTTTGCAAAATTTTGAAGTAAAATAAAGTTGAAAGGAAAGAAATAAGATGGAGAATGTATTCTCGTTGGAATAAAGCAACTGCTCTGCTGTGGTTTTGAACGAACACGTCGACGTGCAGGATGAAACCGCGAAAATCTCGGATTACGGAGAATGGTTGAAGTGGTTCTCAACTTGAATTTCTAATAAATAAATAAATAAATAAAAGATTTCGTTCGTTTAATCTTAATGTGATATAACAATTGATTATTAAATATTAATGTTTGCAATTTTATTTATTAGATATTTATATTTTTATTATTTACGTATTAACGTAAACTAATATATATATTAGATTGTCCGGAAAGTTCATGCCAATTTTGTCATAACGTTACCTATCACAAATCGGCACGAACTTTCTGTACAACCCAATATATATATATATATAGAAATAAAATTACAATTTTATATGTATACACACACACACACTCTATTATACTATAATACTTATCCCTTTCATTATATTTATTATCAAAGGAGGAAGAAAATTAAATAAAATTTGTCATAATTATTCGTTAAAAAAATAGATAAAAAAAAAGATAAAAGAGAAAAAAAAAGGCCAGAAAAAAAAAACAGCAATCCTTAAATATTTGTAACATAATATAATTTTGTGATAATAAAAAAAGAATAAGAAGAAAATGGATAAATGATGAATCATGAAAGTTTTAGATAAAAGACTCCCATGAATACTTTTTTATCATTTTTTGAGGATAAAAAAAAAAAAAAAAATGAAAAAAAAAGGAAGTACAATAAAGAAGAATAGAGTTTTACTGAGCTGTTTTTCTTTTTTACGAAGAGACAAGACAGTCATCGCCTTGGGCACATTATATTATGTAAATAACGAGTTATTTTCGTTCTTCGTAGACGCGGAAACGTGACAGGTCCGTCTGGGACGATGTGTCTTTGGTATTGTGTAAGGTGTTAAATTGTACGAAGAGTAGAAAGAGAATAATGTTGATTGTAGAGATGTAAGCGATGCAATTTTTTCACGTATTTATATACTACATATGTATCTATCTATCCTATCTGTCTATGTATGTATACATAGTTCTACATCGTACATAGAAAGAAAGAGAGGAGAGAGAGAGAGAGAGAAAGAGAGAGAGAAAGGAGAAAGGAGAGAGAGAGAGAAAGAGATGCATTTAGCAGTCTATTGCACGTCCTTTTCTATTTTTATTTTTATTTTATTTCCTTGTATACGCATGTAATAGTCTTAGAACAAACGTGTCACATTCATTTAAATAAGGCGCCACTGACACAACTATGTTTTTCTTATTTTTCTTTCTCTTTTTTCCCTCTCTCTTTTTTTTCTCTCTTTTTTCTCTCTCTTTTTTCTCTCTCTCTTTTTTTTTCTCTCTTTTTTTTTCTTTCTTTTTCTATTTTATTTTTCCTTCTTGTTTTTTTTTTCCTACATAGACTCACGTATACGTATATGAGACACGTATTGAATTGCGAAAAAGAAAATGAGATACGTGTAGGCGTCAGTTAATATAAAATATCCTACATAGTTGATTATTTCGATATTCGAATTGTTAAATCGCATTCAATTTCTCTAATCATAATTTTCTATTAATAATAATCAAATATATTTGTAATAAGAGAAATTCATGTACATATGATATGTATTATCGTATCTAAAATAGATTTATTAAACAAAATATATATATATATAATTTTAATAGTCATAATAATAATAAGTATTATTATTATTATTATTATTATTATTATTATTATTATTATTATTATTATTATTAATATTACATTTATATATATATGTATATATGTGAAATAAAAAATAATTGTGTAAGATGATTTAAAAAAATAAAATTAAAATTATTTTAAGAGAAACAATACGGTATACGTGAGAATAGTATTTTTAATTCGATATTATTTTACACAATGATCGTAAACAGGAAATCGAGAAGGTCGTTTCAAGGATGGATCTCGTGTTTTTTTTCTTTTTTCTTTTTTTTTTTTCATTAGAATGCAACGAATTTTAATCGAGTGAATCGAAAAAGGCCTCTCCTTTCCGGAGCTCGAGAAAAGTTTTCTGGAATTCGGCTCCTTCTAAATAATGTACAACACGCGATTCAAATTTATATATATATATATATATAACAATAAAAAAGATTAACAAGAAGAAAAAGAAAAAAGAAAATTAAAAGCCGGCACCTTTTGTCGAAAGCGAATATCGTGCGGATAATTACATTTCCGTGGGTCTCACGCATATGAACGAAAAGATGTCTGAGAAATAACACGATATTCGTCGAAAATTATTCAATCCTTTTAAATTCTTTCATTCTTTTTTTTTTATTTTTTTTTTTTTTTATTATTATTTTTGTTTTTATTTTTTATTTTTATTTCTTTTCTACGAAAATTTCAACTCTCTCTCTCTCTCTCTCTCTCTCTTTCTCTCTCTCTCTTTTTGTCTTTCTCTCTTTCTCTCTTGTGTCAGTTTTAATTATAATATAATTAATTTTACATAATATCACAAATATCTTTTTCATCTCAGTGTTAAAATTCTGATGTACCAGGAGCTAGGTGGATTAGTTGGGTTAAAGGATACGAAAATGAAATATATTACGTGTGTTGTAAACGTCATAGTAAGCGAAAATTGAAAGGAATTCGGGTTAGACGCGAAGCGAGTT